GAGAGAGAGAGAGAGAGAGAGAGAGAGAGAGAGAGAGAAAAGGAATAACAATAAAAATCATCCCTACGCGCGGAGGCGGCGACGGGTTCTTATACATTTTATTGTCAGGGCGCGACGAGACGGGCTTTGTAGCGCGTGTGTGTGCGTGCACGTCCGTGCGGCGGTCTCTGTGTTCATAATACGGTCTTTGGTTTAATGATACGGTTTTACGCCTCCGCTCGCGCTCGCTCGTGCGTGTGCGTGTGTGTGTGTGTGTGTGTGTCATCCCCGGTCGTCGACGAAGCCCGTAATTAAAAAAAAAAACCTGCCCGAGGCCGTGTTATTAAAAAAAAAAAAGAAAAAAACTGTACGTACACCGTAGTAGAAAATCGAGAGAGAGAGAGAGAGAGAAAAAAAAAACGTTTTACAATGGGAAGGCTCGAACGCGGTGCACGCGCGTAAAAAACGTACAAACAAACTCGGTCGCCGAGCGCGCGGTTCAAGTGCCGCTCGCGTAAAAAGTATTATTATCGTCGCGATTATCACCGACGCGTTCGTGTTTGTGGACCGGCGCTGCCCGCAGGAGACAATGGAAACGATTCGTCCTGCGGAGCACGCGTGATTACCGCGCGCGCTTGTGATGTTACACCCGTACGACAATGACGTCGAGACCCCGACCGGCGGTTATTTTTCCCGGAGACAACGACGACAACGATTACTTTAATAACAATGCGCGTCGACGTTAGTGCGCGGCGATTGTACGTCGACGATTGGACGGTGCGCGCTCGTGATTGTCGTCCGCGGCACGATGATACGGATAACAACAATAGGTAGACATACACGAGCGGATTTTATAACGGATTTGGTCTGACGGACTAAATCCTTAGGTCCTTGAAAGATTTGGTCCGTCGGACTAGGTCCTTTAACGTGTCCACTAACGTGAAAATAAAAGTCCGCTATTTTTCGCGGAGCGAATCCACCAGCGGACCATGTCCGTTGGTTAGTGGAGGAAATCCGTTGATTTTTATGCTGAGGACCTAGTCCTTTGGTCTTTCAAGACGTTCTGAAAGATATGCGGATTTATGCGACGGACTACAACAGTTATCAATAAAACGAAAATTTCTTATCAAGGTCCGTGGTCCGCCGGACCGGGTCTTTTAGTCTGTGGCAAAGCGAGAGACTTGAACCGTTGGATTTTAAATCTGCCGGATTGAATCCTTAGAACACCACACACGATAGGACTTTTTAGAGGATTTAATCCTTCAGAGACCAAATCCGTTATAAAATCCGCTCGTGTATGGGCACCTAATGGTACAACCCGGCAGCGGAGTGCACGCGCGAAGAGACGACGCGGGCGTGCCGTGAAAATCCCGAATAATACACTATAAAACGTGCACACGACGAACTCGTACCGGCCGTTTGACGCGTTACGTCGGGTAACGAGCGAATGCGTTCGTCGTCGTCGCCGCGATCGGATCGGTCCGCCTCCTACGTGTTCTCCGTGTTACCCGCGCGTGGTGCGTCCGCGTGGAAAACTGCGGCTCTACACCACCTCTGACGATGTACCGCGCTGCCGGTGTGCGAAACAAATTTTATTCGAACACCAAACCGTAATCTCCCGGGGTTTCTCATCGGTTGTTATTGGATACTCGACAGCGAAACACGTTCATCGAATTGTACGGGCACGTGCCTACGGTGCCTGTACACGAACCCCGCCGGGCCGACGAGAGGACGGAGCGGGGATGGCTAGAGCCCCGGGGATCGTACGGCCGAGAGGGCCCGTCGTCTCATTACACGAAATCGTTTTACAATCTCATCCGCCGTAGCAAAAGATGCTACTTTTATCGTGATAAAGTGCGCACAGGTAATATTTATGTGTTGGGCGAAAAAATGTGAGCAAAGGGGGACAGGAACCGATATCAGCTCCTCAAAAGTTCTCCCCGGCCCTGTAAATACGCCACTGAGCGTAGGTGCGTACGTGTTCTTGTTTTCGTTCCGTTTCCACGGAAGACCGTTTCGTCCGTCTCCTGCGCACTCCGTACAACATTTTGCTGACGTGACACCGTCGGTTACGCGCCCCACGGTACTACTGCGACCCGGTATGGTTTGCTGGCGCCTAAAGGCCGTTGCACTGACGACGATAAAATAGCGAAGGGCAGTAGCGTTTTCGACTTTCGCGGAACATTTTGGACACCGATTGCCAATAAATAAACGTATTTTAAGAACTTGATTTTGAAACGTATTTTGAGACTTGCAAATATTTATGTTTACATTGCGAATCAATAATAAGCCGTTTGTTAGTAAAAAAAAAAAAATTCAAATTCGCCCAACTCTTTGGAAAACACCGATGATTTAAAATATCACGGTCGCACGGTTTTCGATTTTCACAGCTTATACCGTTTTTTTTTTTTTTTATATAACTACAAGAAACGATATTTCAACCGTTTGACGTTCTCGTAGATAATATTCGGTTTCGTTAGACATTTTTATCATTTTTATCATTTTTTTCGAAAATATTCCGAACTTGCAATCATTACCTAGGCAAGTGTGTTGGAAAAATCGTTCATCGATAAGTATTATTTTTTTCGTCGTTTTCGCGTGGTCGTACCGTTCGAATGAAATACAGTACGTACATAGTATTCACGGGTAATTGTAAAACCGTTACTTTTTTCCCGAAGAACAATTTTGTCGGTGCACACATCCACGGTGTTTGATTTTAGATTTCTCATCGCAGACACATTTGAGCGAATGTAATCGCGCTCGCGTCTAACGTACACTTTTACACGTTATACGAATCCTACTTTACGTCGTGCAATTAACAAAGTTCGCGATCGTCCGCCGCAAATCGGTAAACTATTCATAGCGCTTACAGCGATGCATCGGTACAACACTGATATTGAACCGTAAAGGGGCCCACACACCACGATGAAACCTGACGGTTTTCATCGTCACGATAAAAACCATCGGTCAAAACGGAAGTGTGTGGGAAAAATCTGACGTCCAAACACAACGGTCTTTATTTCCGTCGAGTCTTGATTTCAAACACGACGCGTTTACCTGTAGTACCGACTTGTTTCGGTTTCAGCTCGTTCGATAGATCGACACGAGAATTTCTTTTCTCTTATTATCGACCTTGGATTTAGTGCGCACCGAACGTTTTGTGGTATGATTCTTTGATAAAAAAAAAAAAAAAAAAAAAAGGAACAACACTTGCCACAGCTACCGCCATAAATTACGTCGAATCCGCGGCGTGCTAAGAAAAATTCGCATTACATCAGCTGAAACGAACCCAGTCGAAACCGAAGCACGATTCGATTTTAACACGAAGTTTGCTCATCGACGATGCAACGCGACTTGAACGTGACGATGAAAACCGTCGTGTTCCATGGCAGTGCGATTAACCGCCCGCGACCATAATAGCGTTTGTCGTGCGCGTCATATCGTTAATAACGTTGCGCGACCATGTCCGCGAGGTAATCGGTTAGCCGCGTGAAGACGTTTCCCGATGGCGAACGCTCGACGCTTAAATAAAAATTAAAAAAAAAAATTTTTTTTACAAAAAAAAAACCGCATTACACGAACAGTAATTCGCATTCGCTTGGCAGGAGGCCGGTAGATTTTATCGCTCGTACGGTGTATTATTATTTGCTTTCTCCCGCGCGCGTGCGCGTTCCGATTCCGTGGCCCATCGTCGTTCTTCTCGCCCCTGCAATCAACCACGTCATTGCAGTGACCAGCAACGGATTTCGTACCGAGCCAATGGTCCGGAGCTCCGCGCCGTAACGGTTTCTAATCGTCCGCCGTTTATTTTTCCGTCCGTCGTAACGATCGCCGCTCGAAACCCGTCGAACGTTTCGGCTCCGCATCAGTCCCACGCAGCAGTCCCCCGTTAAGGGTACATTTCAAAATATATTTGATCTCTATGCCCAGAGTCATTTTTTTTTTTTTTTTGAGGGGGTTTGGGGGTTTGAGGCTTTAAAATTAAACATAAATCATACGATTTTCGTACAAACCAAACATAACCATACGGCTTCTATAAGTCATCATTCCGTTGCACGAACCCCAGTCTGATTTAAAGAATGCGATACGCGCGGAGCGAAAACAGCGCATTTACGCTTTACTTTTATTCTGACTTGCGGACCGGTGTACTGTCAATATTCTTGCGTTCAAAATTTGCCACGATTTATTCAAACCCTACATATCCGTGTCGTATGCGGACGGAAACATTGGTTTCAAACTTTCTTTTCATCAATAAAATTGCATTATTTTCACACTTAGCTAGTGTTAATATTTCGCGTTCGATATTTTTTTTTTTTTTTTTTTTTTTTTTTTTTTTTAAAGAAAAAATGTATAATGATGATATTTTGTAAATTCAGCTCGAGGCCCTAGGCCCCCGGCCTG